AAGTGAATCCTTCTAGCAAGAACTTCAATCTTATTAAAACATATTCTAAGATCATCGAAAACCAAAGAAGAAGTCAAAACAACCATTGTATCAATATCTCTTTTCTCTTTCCCAATATCTCTCTGTTTCTCAACATATATTTTGAAAACTTTTAGAACTTTAGACAATTATTTATAGTCACTCAATACTTCATATATTACAAAAAATTTATGTTAATATACAAACATTTAGAAATCCTAACATTAAAATTTAGAAATCTTGACATTTTAAAAATTAAAAATTTATATTAATAATCTGCTTTATTCTATTTTATGTTAATATATAGAACTTTGGAAATCTAGACATTTAAATTTGGAAATCTTGACAATTTAAAAATTAATAATTTGATTTATTCCATTTTATGTTAATATAGAGAAATTTGGAAATCCTATCATTTAAATTTGGAAATATTAACATTTTAAAACTAATAATTATATTAATAACCTAATTTATTAGATAATATACTTTTTAATTAAACTAATTTGGAAACAATGATATTTAAAAAAAAANTTTGTAAAATGTTAATATTTATTTTGTTATTTAAATTATATATGGAATATTAATTTCATTTTTAATATAATTTGGAAACAGTAACATTTTATAAAAATAATAAACTAATATAATGATGTGTCATTATACGATTGGAGGACTTAAATCCTATGTGGACGCTCTCAATGGCTTATAGCCTCAACTTTTATATAGTATAGATTATTGGTAGGACTGGGATTTTGAACCTAACCGAATCTAAATTTCGGTTAGGTGTTCGGTTCCGTTTAGTAGTTGTTGTGAAAAAATTGGTTTTCGGTTTGGTTTGGTTCGGATCAGCAATTAATTAATTTGATTTTCTTAAAGAAAAGAGTTATAACCAAACCTGAACCGAACTAACCAAAACTTCAAGCCTAACTAACTGAACTTATCCGAAATTTTAACAAAATTAAAGCAAAATATAACCAAAATCAAAAGCTTTATTAAGATTTTTAAAAACCAAACTTTATTAAAGGTTAATTCAACAAGATTTATGTTGAATTAATAAAACCGAACTACCTGAACCCATGTGCCTAATTACTTTGGTTTTCTTTGAAAAAATTATAACCAAACCCGATCCGAACTAACCAACAATCAAACTTAATTAACCGATATTTTAACGAAATTAAATCAAAGTATAACCAAAACAAAAATACTTAGTTAGGATTTTCAAAAATCAAACTAGCCGATTAACGAACCAAACCAAACTTTATTTCAGGTTAACTCAACAAGATTTATGTTGAATTAATCAAAAACCGAACTACCCGAACCCTCATGCCTAATTGTTGGATTCATGGTTGGTTTAAGAGCTAAGGAGGTTTGAAAATTTGTAACATTTATTGGTGTTACTGTGATGTAGCTCCTTAGCAGCTTATGGAGCGTTTATTAGACCAATGCCGTTTGGGAATGAGATTGGGCTGCGGATGCTTATAGGTGGAGCAGTTAGAGAGGCTGCTCTGCTTGGTTATCATGTTACGCCACTTTTCTCATACTATTCTTATCACGGCCCTGTGTTTAGAGTCATGCTTCGTGTTCACCGTGGGAAGCTACACGAGGACAGGTTATTTTTATCTCTACGTTTTGAATCTGACTAAAAGGACTTGAGTTTTGGTTGTGTTGAGTTTTAAATTAGTGAGAGTTAACTGCAGGAACTATGGTTTTGTCACTTTCTGTCATCTATGTGGCCATTCTGATATAATAAGATGGGATGAACTTGGTCTGATTGGATGTCACTGCAGTGATACAAAGGCTTCTTCTTCACTGGTGGTTTCAGGACCAATGTGGCTTGGACCGCTTCATGATGGATCGTATGTTAATGAAATGCTGGATCTAGCTAAGGAATGGGGATGGGTTAGTGAAGGTGTTGGCATGGATTTGGAGAAGCTTCTCAGCATAATGATTGAAGAGAGCGATCCAAGACTACCACCTGGATATTTCAAAATGGATGAGGTCCTAAACCATCATAATTCACTTACATTGATGAGAAAGACCCATTTTGTTACATGTTGATGATTTGCTTTATGTTGTGATCAGATGGCGAGCCGTGCAAAGATGAACTCACCTTCTTTGAAGAAGATGATGAGTGCACTTGTTAAGGTACATTACTTGTTGCTTTCTCACAGCTTTGATCTTGAAGCAATAAATGCTTACTAAACTAAACAATTGTGCGCTTTTGGAAAATTTTGCAGGAGGGATACGCCGTTAGCCGATCTCATATTATATCCAATGGTCTCAAAACAGATTGTCCCATGTCACAGTTTATAAAGATTGCAAAAGATGAACTGCAGAAATAAATTTTTTTCCCCACCTTTCTGAATCTGTGTTTAGTGTAGCTAGCTGCTTAGAATTAAATTATTAATGTTGGGTCTTCTTTTAGTTTATGAAATCCATGCTATTTAAATCAAACTTGTCTTCATTTCTCTGTAGAGGTTATTATAATTTCGTATTTCCTCTTGATTGAGGTATTGTTTTGCTTGAATTAAATTAAGAGGAAATGCCAATGTAAAAATGAACTGATATAGTCTCAAAGCATTCAAAGCTCCACCTGATAAAATTTATCTTTAACCCACTGTAGGAAACATGTTCAAAAATTCTAGACAATGCAGAGACTGAAACTATAATATAAAGAGTTTTGAGTATCCAGCTTCTTGCAGTCTTTTCTAAGCACGAGGAGCAGCAGGGGCACCACCAGCAGGACGAGGAGCCTGACCAGGTTGTCCAGGCTTGGGAGCATCCTCCTGAAAAAAATCATCATTTTCAAAACCATTACGCACAATAAAACATAGAAGAAGCTTCAACAATACAAGTTTCATATAGTATATGATATACAACAGCACATACTAATATACTAAACTAGAAGTATCAAAACTAACGGCAAATCACTATTCAGCTAATTTAACAGTAACTGCCACTAAGAATTCTAACCATAATCACAAAGTGAGACACATTTGTATTTAATGACTGATTATGCAAATCTAATTGCCTAAAGAAGAAGTAATCGCGTTGAGTGATTATTATTATTATTACCTTGCGTCTGACAAAACGGGGTGGTGGGGTACGAACTCTACGGTTAGTGCGTGATCGAACTCTCACAACGTGAGAATGGATAGCACATGAAACACAGTACTGCGTCTTAGCGTACAGCTTTGGAAGAGTGTAACCTATATATATATATATATATATATACAATTACATATTATCAAAGACAATTCGAAATGAGAGAATCATTTAACAAACATACCATCGTAGACACTTGCTTCTTGAACATCTCTGATAGCAGCCTGTTCAACAATGTTCCTGACGATGAATCTCTTAATCGCCTTATCCTATTACAACAACAAAGGAATTGGAAAATCAGATCAAATCCTTCAGACAATTTATTTAGCTTCGGACAATGATTAAAACAGGAGACTGAACCAAAACCTTGGGGCAGCATTTCCCACAGTTGGAACACCTGATGAATTTCACATGACCACGGTTGTGCTTGTTCCTGCCACCGTTCCTACGCTTGAAAGTCTACACGAAAAAAAAGACAAACTACGGATTCATTACACAATGCGAGCTTGTTACAATGTTCCTAAACAATTCTTATATCAAAAGAACATCAAGACTTGCCATGTTGCAAGCAACGAGTGTGAAAGCCTTCTGGGATCTCTTGTTTTCTTCGTTACGGCGACAGGGTGAGAAGGAAATTAGCCCTAAAAATTTGATCGGTATATATGCACACACTGCTTGCCGTTTTAGGTTTTTAGAGTGGGCTTCGATAAAGTGTTTGGGCCTTAAATGCAAGCCTGAGCCTGGTTAGACGGTTGACAAATAAAAAGTACATAATCCAAATCTAAAATATTCTAAACTTTGTATTTTGTTATAGTTAGGAATGAGTATAAATACTTGGTACTCTTCTTCTACCCACTACTTGTCTAGAAAAAGCAAATACTTGTTATATTCAAATGAACTAACAAGTATCAAACAATAGATCAAGGTTTTATACCACTTAATTCATTACTTGTTTTTCTTATAATAATTATATTTAATATTTATTAAATATGTGTTGTTAACATTTATATTTTTACTTGTTACTTGTTTTGGATAGTAGGTGTGCTTTGATTAGAGGAACCAAATACGATCCTTAAGTCACCAATTAATCTTAGATTTTATCAGATTCTTTCTTGAATATTTGAAATTTTTGTGAAAGTTATGTTATTTTTACTAAATATATAGCTATATATCTTTTAATACATTGATCAACCTTATTAGGTGTGGTATCAACGACAAGTATTTGGCTTTTTTTCTTTAATCCAAACCACTATAAATAACGAAGAAAGCACAAACATTGTGCAATGTGAATCATTCACCGAAAGTCTTAAACAATTCAATTAATCAAATCATATATATATTTTTTTATTTTTTTCTGATCTAATGTTGTTGATAGAGTCTTTTGTGGCAACATGCAGAAGATAAGTGATATCAATTTGTTGTATGCTTGGACACGGAAAAAACCATCATAGTGATAAATCAGAGATAGTGATTTAACAAACTCTTGTGAATTACAATACGAATAAAATAGTCCTTAGAAATTCTCTTAATATATGACACCCTTGATGTTTAAGGATTTGATTAGTGTATAATGTGTGGGATTTAATGTGACCCAAAGCTTATTCAAACTAGATAAATTTATTCAAACTAGATAAATGATTAATAATTTAAATATTTATTTGTAACCTTATTTAATAATTTTACAAATAGTTTTTATATCTTTTATAAATTTGAAACTGAAATTTTTGATATCTACAGAAACTTACTACATAGATTTTTTTCTAAAGTTTCTTTTGAATTTTTGATATTATAAATTTTTTGTGAAGACACATATGTAAGTTACGTTCAAAACGATGTAGAATGATGACATGTAAAACAAATTAGAAGTAGAGCTCTGACGTTGAAAACGAATTTAACATCCAAATTTCCCAACTTTTAAACATTCATATCACAACCTTTTTTTCTTGCCACTACACATGAGATTTTTTAACTTATTATTGCATCTTCACTATTTACATATCAACTACTCAACCGTTAAAAAGCATTCAGTTCTATAGTAACTTAACTTTTGGATTATGTATACACATATATATTTGTTCTCCTAAAACTCGTTTAGATCTCTGTTGTGCTTCTCGAATACATCTGCAGCATATTTCCAGTTGATCACAGTCCATATGTTCTTTAAGTAATCTGCTCTTGCATTCTTGTACTACATAACCAGTTGATCAAAACTTGATATTAGTTGTGTTACTCGTCATTAGCTACCACCAATAACTTATAATACTCTAATATCAAATAGCTTTAAAAGTTAGCTGAGAACCTGTGGATAGTAGGCATGCTCCCATACGTCAATTCCGATCAGAGGAACCAAGTGTGATCCTTTAGTCACCAATGGATCCTACAGTTTCTTTTTATCAGAAATTTTCTATGATAGTTACATTGTCGTTAAATAAAATTTATACTATATGAACTACCTGATTTGCTGTGGTCTCAACTACAAGTCTCTTTAGCTCTTTGTCTAATCCAAACCACTAAACAAAGAAGGTACAACACATTATGCAATATGAACTAGTCAGAAAAAAAGTATATAACATTATGATCAGCCCATTCATATTAAACTCTATTGTTGGATACAATTTCAAATTCATCTATATATTAAAAGACCTTATGATTAAGTGTTGCTGAAAGAGTTTAACAAAGAGCTTACCACCCATCCAGATCCCTGAACAGCAGCACCTTCAGTATTCATCTTTTGCATCAATTCCTGTAAGGATCCGAAATGAGCATCTATCGCAGAAGACAGAGGATCCTGCGGTGGCTTACCACCTCCTTCCTAATTATTCAAATTAACCCATTAATGAGAAAAAGAAGCTACAAAAACAAAAAACAGTGGAGTGACAACCAAGAAAGAGATTCGTACATGGACAGGTGCTAGGTTCTTCCAGAAGATTGCGTGGTTAACGTGACCTACAAGCAACAAAAAGTACAGCACAATCAATCAATTTCCTTAAAAGTCAACAAGCACGTGTTTGAAAGATATGGGTTTTTACCTCCACCGTTGAACTTGATTTGGCTTTGGAGTTTGACGACGGAGGAGTGATCACCATCGGCCAAGGCGGATCGGAGTTGATCCAGGGCTTTGTTGTAATTAGTAACGTAAGTCTGGTGGTGTTTCTGGTGGTGTAACCGCATGATCTCCTCGCTGATGGCTGGCTCTAGTGCATCGTAAGCGTAGGGAAGATCAGGCAGTGAAGCAGTCTTCATGGACTCAAGACACGGGTCCATGGTGGTTTTTTTTCCTGTTCCAACGTCAAGGCTCATCGCTAAAACGTTAAGGATGATGATAGAAACAATGATGCTCATGGTTTTATGTATATATACACACAAGCGAGGGGGTGGATTTATATAAAAAGATGTCCAGACACGTAACCTTTAACTGCTCCACTTGTCAATCTCAAAAGGTTGATGTGTTTAGTTGTTTTGCAGAGTTGCTAGATTTGTGTCGCAACCTTACGTTACGACTTTTCTTGACACTATTGGTGTAGTGTGTGTGCTTTTGTCGTTGTGTGTTTTAGCACGAGAAAAGTAAAACTTGATACAACACTATGTTATAAAATCCAAACCTCATTAGTCAAATGATCCAATCCTTATATGCGAAAGTTCAACGCATAAGACTGATCTAGATAATGTATTCACCTCGTCTATTTTCTGTTAATTTCAAAAGTACTCCCAATGTTTCTTTTTATACAATGTTTTAGAAGGTGTTTCTTTTTATATGATGTTTTAGAAGGTTTATATTGTATCAAAATATATGTTTTGAGGTTTTAAAGTATGTTTTGAGGTTTTAAAGTTATTTGTAATTTTATTGGAAACTGTCTAACCAATAAAATTTTACAGTCTCTTTATAATTAGTTGAATGATTTTTTAGTGATATATTTAAAAATATTTTTTTTAAAGAATTAAATATCTTAAATTTTCGTGCACTAAATCCAAAAATGAAATAAAAAGAAACGAATGGAGTATATCCTAAACATTTTAATGAAATTTTTATTACTTACCTCAGAAAAAAATCACTACTGCTTGGGAAAAAAACCATTCATACTTTGGAACTTGGAAGAGAAATGTTTTGCGGTAAAATGAGGCAAAGCCCACAACTTTCTTTAAAATCAAAGGCCCAATCCATTATAATATATGGTACAACTCGGCTGCCGACGTGGCACATACAAAGGCATAAATTAGTAAATGACGTGGCTAACACGAGGACAACGCAATGTGAATGCTGTACCAACGTGTGTCCGCGGAAGCCATGCACACACCAAAACCGCGTCGCCACGTTCCCCTTACCCATAAACAGCTTCACGTAATCACAACCGTACAATCTCAATCGAACGGTTATTATAAAACCTTTAACAAGTCTCTTTCGTGAAAAGCCTCCAGCCAATTATCACCTAACCTTGGAGACTTCGCAAAACATGAAGAATAAGTTAAACGAGATTTCAATCATCTATTAATCTCAACCGTCCGATCAAACAAACAACTCACACAATCCATGTTAGCAAAAAAAAGTCAATAAATAATAATAAATAATATATTTAAAGACATAGAGATTGCCATTGGTTGCGTGTGTGGCTGAGTCAGTATAACGTATACAGAAACACAACCATTGGTGTGATTAGGTTCTGTAATAGATTTAAGGAATCTAACGTGAAGCAATCTTCATATCAATCGCAATATCGCATCATCGTTGATTCTCTCTACATTACTGTTTCGTCTGTGAGAGCTGAGATGGCAAGCATTTGTTGCGGCGGAGGAGGAGGAAGAGCTTGTGCCGCCGTTCGTTGTGATCGGCGAACGGTGGCAGTTCGATCTTCGTATGTTGTTCCGGTGATTAATCGACGGAGTTGGGCAGATACGGTGAAGCTTTCGACGACGGTGGCTAATATGGCGCCGGTGAAGCTTGAACGGACGAACAACGGTGGCGGATCGGTTGTGTCGCGAGAAAAGATCGAGCAGTGGTTGAGAGAATCAGTCGTTGAGATCGTGAAGAATCTGAGAGAGACGCCGTTGTTGATGCACTTATACGCGGAGGCAAACGGTGGTTTGAGTACGGCGACGACGACGAGTCTAGAGGCGGAGGATTGGGAGGGGAGGGTAGGGAAGTGGAGTAGAGGAGAAGAGAGGACGCCGGAGGGAGTGATCTTTGTTGAGAAGCTAAAGGATGATGATGAAGATGATGATGGTCATGACGATGGATACAAGGGTGGAGGAGGTGGAACGAGTGCTTGGGGGATAGTGGCGCAGGGGAGAGGAACGGAGTGTGGACCGGTTTGTTATTTGTTGAAGACGACCCGGGTTGGGTCGGGTATGGGGACGGTTTGCACGCATTTTTGTTTGGTGAAGGTGAAGAGTTTTAGGGAGACGGGTTTGTCACAGTTGAATAACTCTTGGTTGGTGCAGACTGGTCAATGAATCATAGTACAGTATAGTTTTCATGGTTATTTATAAGAGGCTTAAGGGATTGATCGTGTAATTATTCTCTTTTGGGTTTGAATTATAAAACCCTTATTGATGATCAAAATACCTCATGTTATTGTTACAGTATATACATTCAATCTTTCCAACATTTTAGAAGCTTGATTTTAGCTGTGGTAAAGTTATTTTGGTTATGGTGATTTGTTTGATCAAAGAACAAGTGGTATTTTGTTACTAGCTCAAGTGTCTCCAAGGCCGGATTTGGATACAGCCAATCGAAACATTCGCCTTGGCCCCCAAAATTTTTAGAAAAATTTAACCTAGGAATAAACCTCTAAACATTGACCTTGGCCCTCAAAATTTTTAGAGTTCTTAAGAAATGTTTCAAGCCCCAAAATCTCAGCTCCGGCCCCGAGTGTCTCTAGAAAATATAACACAACATACTGAATATTTTACACAAAAGCTGACCCTAAAGGGGATTACCTTTGATATTTTACAAACTGAATAAAGTGAGATCATCACCTTGAAAGATGTTGTTAATTGATTAATTTCAAAGACTAACGAGTGTGACCTGTGTACTTGTAACGTGGATATTTGAATAATGGATTCAGATTATAGGTTTGTCCCAAGAAAAATGGATTTGGATTATAGGTCCATATATACAGATCATCTTGATACCTTTATTCATTTGGGCTATTTTTTAAGTTTGGGCTGATACTGATGATACTTGGGGTTTTCACTCTATTTCCCAAATCCACAGCTCATAATTCCACACATCTTCAACTCCAAGTCAATAGTCTATTAGCTACACATTTCGACCAGTTTTAAAGTTATTCAGTCTTTCGCCAATATTACATGGACCAATGGTTAGCGTAGTAGTAGTATTAGAAGTTATTTTGTGTTTCAACAGAAAAATTACAGCGAAAACATGTCAAAATCTTACCTAAAAATGGTAAGATACATTTGACTAGAATAATTTTTTGATCAGATACATACAAATACAATTGTTGTTTGAGTAGTGTAGGAAAGTTTAAAATAAATAAATGGAAAATGTCTCCTAATCACAACCTAGATCCTAACTAACGTTGTTTCATGTTGCATTTCCAATGTAAAAAGGGTTAGAAATTGGCTACAAAAGTCAAAACATTGGATACCATTTCAATTTAATGCTATAGTTGAATTTCGTACTTACCGACAAAAAAAAACTGGGATTTTTTTTGCAAATTACCTAGGCTCTGTTTTTGCTACTGACAACATGATAAATGTAGCACATTGGTGTCTTCTATTCTTTTGTCGAGATGATAAACTTATACGTACTTCGATTTCATGAATCTCTTTCTTTCTCAACATCGAGAAAGAAAAGAACGTGGGTCTCTGTTCAGACAATGGCACGCCTCAAGTCCTCTTTTTTTCTTGGCCATTGAAACTAGGGTTCTTCTTTTGTGTAGTATTTTAATACAATACCACTTCTTGAGACCTTTCCTCGATTTTCATAAATCCATTAAGAAAGTTTCAGACTCATTACATCGATGTGTTTTTTGCATAGTCCCATGCACATGGTTGTTACAACAAATGAAGCTTCTTATTACTAATTTAATTTAAATTCAGACAGCATCATCACACCAACCATAACCACATTTTTTTTCTTGATCATTTGCCTTCATCTTTAAAACCCTAACATTGCCTGTTGCGTATCTCACAAGTAAATGGTAATAAAAAGTAAAACTTGAAATGAAAGACCATAAGTTTGCTTTCTTGATCTTTTGCTTTCATCTTTAAAACCCTAACATTGTCTTTTGCGTATCCAACACATGGTAATAGAAAGCAAAGCTTGAAATGAAAGACCACAAGTTTGCTTTCTTGATCTTTTGCTTTCATCTTTAAAACCCTAGCATTGTCTTTTGTGTGTATCTCACAAGTAAATGGTAATAGAAAGTAAAACTTGAAATGAAAAGACCACAAGCTTTGTTTCCTTTAAATAATTTAACTTTTCAATCAAAAGAGTCCCAAACAATGAAGACAAACCCGATTGAAAACCTAAATTGTTATAAAGAACAACAAATAAACATAAGAAGCTAACATACATAAGAAAACACACAACTGCTTACCAAAAAACAACAGACAAAACACACACAAACACAAAGGATCTTTCTCTTACAAAACATGTTAGCTTAATTTTAAAATAAATTTTCAACTAGAACCCAACTCATCTGAGCTTCCTGAAGGGCACCTGATCATTCTCAATATGTTAACAGCTTCTCCCATATGTGGTCTACTCGAAGGAACCTGAGATGTGCAAATCAGCCCTAGCTTTATCACTGCAACAGCTTCCTCCACAGGAAACTTCCCCTGCAGCCTCAGATCAATACATTCCTCTGCTCTCCCATCTTCAAGAGCCTCTCTCACCATATCACACAGAACCACAACATCATCTTCCATATACTCCACAGGCTTCTTACCTGTAACCACTTCAAGAACCAACACTCCAAACCCATACACATCGCATTTCTCAGTTATCTTCACCGTTCTGCAAGCAAACTCTGGAGCCATGTATCCCAACGCACTCTGTATCTTGCTGCTAAGAACATACCTGTCTAGCATAGGTAACAGCCTGGCCAACCCGTAATCTCCCACTTTAGGCTCACCATTGCTGTCTAGCAACACGTTGCTTGATTTGATGTTGTAGTGGATGATGTTTGACTGGTGCAAGTAAGCTAAGCATTTGGCTGTACCGAGGATAACATTGAACCGATCATTCCATGAAAGGGAACTGCTACCACCTCCAGGTGCTTCGTGTAAGTGTTTGTATAAACTCCCACCAGAGAGGAACTCGTAGATAAGAAGCTGAAGAGACGTTGTCCAGTAATAACCTTCGAGTTTAACAAGATTAGTGTGCCTGAGCTTCCCAAGTTTCTTGACCTCTCTCTCGAACTCTTCTTGTGACTTCACAAGGCTTGAGACAGTAAGCTTCTTGATAGCTACAGGATACTCATCTCTGATAACTGTTCTGTACACTGCTCCAAACCCGCCTCGACCTAGCTCACAGTCTTTGTTGAGGAGAGCATGTGTTCCTGTGCTGAAATCAGGTTCACCGGAGAACATAACAAGCTTCCCTGAGTTGCTATCAGTGGTAGGAGATCTGCTGAAGTCATCTCCTCCGGAGAAAGTGATTGGTACAGCTGATCTTGACACCGTGGTGGCTCTCACTCTCAGGTTAAGTACCGTGATGGCTATCACACCAACCACAATGGCTGCAGCAGCACTAATGGCTATTAAGGAAGATATACTAAGGAGTATTCTTTTGTGACCAGCAGCACCAAGAGGCGTTGTTGATTCACCAGAATCAGGATCAAAAGTTGCATTGGGATTCAAGACAATTGGTTTAGGTGAGACAGCAGGACATGATATGTTGACAACAGCACCACAGATTCCTCGGTTTCCTGATACTGAATCAGCGGAGATACCGTTGAAGAGTCCACCTGCAGGTAGCTCTCCAGAGAGATGGTTGTGAGATATGTTGAAGGTGTGAAGGTAACCGAGATTAGCTAACTGTTTGGGAAGCGTCCCGGTTAGTTCATTGAATGATAAGTCCACTTCTTGGAGGTTTGTAAGTCTTGCCATCTCTGGTGGAATTGCGCCTATAAGTTTGTTATGTGACAGGATCCTGTTGACATAAACATGACAGAAAATCAATGAATCATCATCAAGGAGACAAGAAACATATAACTGAACACAACTTAGATCAAAAGGAGACTTACAAAGACTGAAGTGAACTACAGTTCTTGATAGAAGGTGGGATAGTTCCTTCCAACATGTTGTTTCCAAGTCTCAACTCTTTTAATGAAACAGCTCCACCGGTTTCTCTAGGAACTGTTCCATTAAGCTGATTATGACTCAAATCCAAGACGCTCAAATGCTTCAGGTCTCCAATGGAACTAGGGATAGGCCCAGTAAGAGAGTTTCTCGAAAGATTCAAACCCTGCAAGTCTCTAAGATCTCCAAAACCACCTCCAATCACACCAGAGAAAGAGTTCCTTGACAAATCCAAAACCTGAATCTTCTTGACACTATCATTCTTCACATCTTGAAACAACCAAACCGGAAGCTTCCCGGTTAGTGAATTCCCACTAACATCCAAAGCCATGAGGTTAACACACTTCCCTGTAGACTCAGGCAAGCTACCATTAAACCCATTACCAGAAAAATTCAAAACCTTCAACCGCATCAGATCACCAATAGACCCTGGAACCTCCCCTGAGAATTTATTCATTGAAAGATCCAAACTCTCAAGACTCCTCATCTCACCAATCCACTCAGGAACCTCACCTTCCAGCAAATTCCCTCCCAAATTCAAATAATAACACAAACTCAGCTGCTGAAACGTGTCAGGCAAGTTCCCTGACAAATCATTCTCACTAAGATCAACACTCTTCAACAACAAACAGCTCCCAATCTCTCCAGGAATAGAACCAGACAACTTATTCCTACTCAAATCAATAGCTCTCAAATTCTTCAACCTCCCTATCTTCATCCCACCAAACTCTCCCTCCAACTCATTCCTAGACAAATCAAGTGACCTAAGAGTGTTCAAACCCCAAACCCCCAACGGCACCAAACCAGAAAACCCATTCCAAGACAAGTTCAAAGACCCAAGAGAAGAACACAACCCAACACTACCCGGTATCTTCCCACTAAGCCTATTCCTCGCCACAGAAAACGCTCTTAACGACCCACATTGCCGGAAAAACCCATCAGGAAGTGGGCCGGAAAGCCCATTACCACTCAAGTCAACAACTTTGAGATTCACAAGACTAGAAATCAGATTAGGGTTAATGACTCCGGTTAGGTTGTTGTTGGAGAGAGAGAGCTTGTGAAGAGACTGGAGCTGGAGCAGACCACGGCCTATCCGACCAGAGAGAGAGAAACCGTCTAAGTTTAACTCAGTGACACGATTTGTCCGAGGATGGCACTTGACTCCGTTCCATGTGCAAGGAGTGTAGTCATCTTCGTTCCAAGATTCAAGCTTTTTGTCTGGATCTCGCAGGTCGGATTTGAAGGCAATGAGACCCAAAACGTCGTCGTTTAGCGGCGGGTCTAGAGATCTCACCGGAGATTGAAAACCCAACACCACCGACACCAAGAGGATTGTAAAAATCGAAACTTTATGCATTGTTTCACCGAAACGTCTCCGTTTTACTGACTTTTTAGCTCCATTTTTAGTGGGTTTCTTGAGCTGAATCAGAAAGAAACAAAATTGATGAGAAAGGAGTAAACTTTTTGAGATTTGAGTTACTACAAGTAAAGAGCAAAAAATTACACAACGGCTACATTTTTTTCTAAGTAAAGGACAAAACGACGTAGTTTTGACTTACTTAGGGGAAGCTTTTTCCGGCGAAGGAGAATGTGGAATTGAAGAGGAGAGTCTCTTCTTTCTTTCTTCTTGAGGTTAAGAGAAAAGTGAAAGTTTGTGGAGAGGAAAGGAAGGAAAATAAAGAAAACAAAGGCAGAGAGTGAGAGAGAAAGGGGGAGAAAGGCTGTTGTTGTGTAATTAAAAGCTGCATTTATCAACGAGCTGTAAAGAAGAGAGGAGTGGGTCCCAGTTTGGAAGGACGTGGGGTCCCGAGAGAAGGTGGGTGGACTCATTAAACCGGGTTGACACGTGGATTGATGTTGTTGGGTGTTGATAGTGTGACTTGGTTGACATGTGGATATTTTATTTTCTTTTTTATTTATGTATTTTTTTTTTCTTAATGATTGGGCCATCCCCATAATGAAAACTTCAATTACTTTGCTATATATAATAGAACTTTCTTTAATGGGATACACATGTTCTGAGGCCCTCTTGGTTTTGATTCAATTAGCTAAAAATCTAATCTTTCACATAATAATGTGATTAAGGTTATGCTATTTTCATGCAAAGAATAGGAGTTTTGGTAATATGATGAAAAAGACAGTGGTAAAGTGGTCACTATTTTTTTTTTTGGGTAACACAATAAAGTGGTCACTATAAATTTTTTGTTTTGAAGAAAAAAACATTAAAGTAAGCTGGTGAGGAGGATGGTGACCTGGAAACTAATGTTTTGGTGGTGTGAGAAATCTCTTGTTAGTTGGTACATTAATAATTGCAACCACCATACTACAACATCATTAATTTGTTTGCAACGTCCTACAAAAGCGGAAAGTGTAAACGGTGGATAAAATTATAGAAATTAAACCATGTTTTTTTTTATGATACATCATAAACCCTAAGGATTTGTGGTTGACTTGGAGGAGGAACACATGTTGATTTGGGATCTTCTGTTTGTGCAAAGAATCATTCAGTATATGAAACTTTTTACAGATTGAAATGCGGTTGAATAACTAAGTGTTAAACACTTGGTGCCACAAAATAAAACAGTTAGAAAGACAGATAATAGAACAGGAGTGAATTGTAAAACAATATAATGCACTTGGAATTATTTTATTGTTGTCTTCTCTTCATGTGTGAGATTTGGTCCGCTTCAAGACATGTTACCAAGACTTTGGTCTCTCTCTCTCTCTCCATGCCGATGTTTGAATTTTTAATATTCCTTTTGACAGTAAAACTATTTAAAAAGCTTAAAATGAAAAAGAACTCTTTTCCCTATGGAGAGAAAACAACCCATCATGAAGATTTTGGAATTTACTATTTGTTTCTATTTACATTTTAACAATAGTCTATTTTAAAAATTAAAGTTCATGGTCAATTTCTAGAGCCTTGAAGGAATTTTTTGGGCAGTGAGTTAGCCGGACGGAGAGAATTCACATTTACTATTCTTATACTTTCCCATCTATATTTATTTATTGTTATATAGTATTTATCTCCACATTTATTTTCTTACTGGAAACTTCAGCTGTCATAACAGGATTTGCATTTAGAACCAGCCATTAAACGAGAAATTGAATTTATTCTGCATTTTCCAAAATTTATGTATACTCCATGGTGATTGAATGGTAAATGTCACAAAAAAAAAAGATAACTAGGATATGAGGGCTTAATGGGTTCAGCTGATTTAGGCCCGTAGGCAATTGAAACAAGGCTTACCAAATCCCAAACCTATGTGAAAGAAAATGGTCTAATTGATAATGGCTATAGATTATTGGTGGAGAAGTAGAAAACAATCTTATATTCTTTTGTCAAATGATCCTTCATAGGCAATAGATTTGTGAAAAAATGTTCGGCTAGGATCAATCGGTTTCAAATGTATATTTATCGTTTTAACTAATAGATTAATGTTGAGAAAACTAAAGAAGAAAACAAGAGCAATCAAATATTCTAAGGTATAAGTGTGACTGCATATTATACTATAAGGTATAAGGTGTAATTAACCTATGTATGATAAAAACTAGTAGTTGTTATATAGTTAGTTCATTAGTGGACGTAGAAGTGCAACTCACAAATGCAAGTAACATAACGGTCAAAGATCAAGTAAAACAATAATGTAGAAAACAATCTTATATTCTTCTGTCAAATGATCCTTCATAGTTAATAGATTTGTGAAAAAGTTCGGTTAGGATCAATTCGGTTTCAAATGTATACTTATCGTTTTAACTAATAGATTATGTTGAGAAAACTAAAGAAGAAAAAAAGAGCAATCAAATATTCTAAGGGATAAGTGTGACTGCATATTATACTATAAAGTGTAATTAACCTATGTATGATAAAAAAAACTACTTGTTGTATAGTTAGTTCATAACTCATAAGTGCCGTAGAAGAGCAACTCACAAATGCAAGTGACATAAAACCTGAGGTTCTCACTACAACTAAAATCGAAAATAACTGTATACATCCAACAATCTATCCTATATTTTAAAATTCAAAAATAAGAATCGTGGTGATGTCGTATCCAAGATTCTGATTCAGATTTGTGATCCATTTTTAAAGAAATAAAAATGATTAGCATTTGCATCTTCACTATCTCCACGATTAGAAAAACCCAAACAAATGGAAAATAAAATTTAATATTCAGATTTTCGTTATCACCATGATCACATTAGCACTGTCACTGACATAACACCAAGTTTCTTACCAGTTCCAGAGAATCAATACCAAAGAACAAAACACACAACTTGTTTCTTAAGCATAGATAAAATAATATCAAATCATTTCTTGATACACCGTTATCCTATATGTCCATATATAAATCGAAAACATAATGTTACAATGATTATAAAATCTTCAAACATTCATACTCAAGTCAATAGTCTCTTTCTACTTTTGTCTCTGGTTTCTTTTGGTCTTTTCAGTTGCTTCACTGCACATAGTATCTATGGAGGAAGAGCTTCATGTTTTAGCAGTAGATGACAATCTAATTGACCGTAAACTTGTAGAGAGGATCCTTAAGATCTCTTCTTGCAAAGGCAAATTATATCACTCAGATCTACTATCTTCTTTTTTCTTGTTTCATTTAAATTTCAAGAAATAACATTACCTATGAAATGTGAAAATTGATTTTACTTTCTTTTTTTTTTGTGCAGTGACAACAGCAGAAAATGGGATTAGAGCATTGGAATACTTAGGCTTGGGAAATCCACAACAGACTGATTCATCAAGTACCAACAATGTAAGATTAATCTTCAAGTTATTTAATCCTTAGAGGACTACAATTTCATTGGTTTAGAGAGGATCCAATTGTGTACATGGTCGGCATGGGTAAGCTAGATGAAACACTGGCCTTAGGCCCCCAAATATTTCGAAGAAATTTACATGTATATAGCCCCCCAAAAAATAAGTTTAGATCCTCAAATCCGTTAGAAAAAATTTAGGTGAAATTGTTAAAAAATCACCTCAGGTCTTTTAATTTTCATGGCCGGCTCTGATTGCGTAAATCCAATGACTTTTAATGACTTTTTGGTTTGGTTATTTTTTTCAGGTTATGAAAGTGAATCTCATCATCACTGATTACTGTATGCCAGGGATGACAGGTTTTGAGCTGCTCAAGATTGTAAAGGTGCTTAACAAAATATTTCTTATGAATCAAAGAGTCTTCTTAAGAAGATTCAGAGACTAACATTTTATTTGATTTTTTATGTTTTTTTTTTTTGGTAATTGACAGCAGGAATCTTCGAATCTAAAGGAAGTACCTGTTGTGATATTGTCATCAGAGAACATTCCTACTCGCATCAACAAGTAAACTTCTTATTCCTTATAATATCACATATTGCATGTTCTATTATTTTAAAAACTGAATAAGTGGTGAATTAAGAGATTATGTTATTTTCTATCTGATATTTGCAGATGTTTAGCAAGTGGGGCTCAGATGTTTATGCAGAAGCCACTGAAACTATCGGACGTAGAGAAACTCAAGTGTCATCTCTTAAACTGCAGAAGCTGAAGATCTGCTCACAAAGAATTTTTTTTATTTTTTTTAAGATTGTGTTCCTAAACAATGACAAAGATCGTCTTGGTCATCTCAAATACCCTTCCTGTTATTTTGTAAGGATCTCTCTCTCTCTCAGATAATTAATTTTATGAGTTATAAATGTTTTTGGGGTCAGATTGTGAGGAACCTTAGACGACAAGAAACGTCTAGATTTCAACGAATCTCAATTCAAAATAAAAAGTAAAGCAAGTAGAAAATTTGGAACTGATGAAAACAAAAAGCAACGAGAATTAACATCTCTTCCACCTATGACCTATGCATTTGTTGCTATTTTGGTGAGTGATGAGATGCCTTTCTTGGGCCGTTTTATACGTTTTGGGATCAGTACTCTGAAACCTCATCAAAAATACTTTCGGTCATTATCACTTCGACCATGGGCAATGACCTTTTTGGCTAAGACAAACCTACTCTACATGGCCAAGACCAACTCAGTCTATGGATGAACACATTCTAAGCAAATGTGTGTATAACATTAACTAGCCATTTGATATGTGTTTTTTTTTTGTAGATTTAACATAGACATGTGTTGGTTAAACATGATACGTAAAGTTCAAAAAACATAGATTTTGGTTTTAGTTTTTTTTTTTTTTAATCCATTCAAAATTTATATTTTGGTTTTAGTTATTGTAAAACACTTTATTTTAATCAAGTTTTTAACAAATAAGTATATTTTTAAAAAGTTTAGGGAAATTAGTATTTTTTAATCATTTTATGAACAAAAAACAAAACCATAAAATGTAGATTTTTAATAACAAAAAAATATTTTTTTCTTTTGAAAAAAAATGCTTTTAAAATCTATGTATTTTATCTATATTTTATTCTACTGATGTTTAATCATTGAGTTATTATTTTATATAAAACTAAAAATTATAGAATAATTTGATACTTTTAAGCACATAAAACAACAACTAAAAACTAAAAGCATTAAATGTTAAAAATATAAGTAGAATCTACCAAAATAACATAAAGCACAAATTCTTTTTGTTTGTAACATCACAAATTGAAAAACCGAAAACTAAAAGTGAAAAACCAAAAACTAAAAACAAAAAATGTACACGGATATTTTGGAATAATAGAAACAAAACTAGCAAAAGGATTGGCAGTATGAGATAGTTAAAGAGATGAGAATATTATACACTTAATCCAACAAGAGTATTATTACAATATTCTACAATATGTACTGTACATACACTCATTTTAGAATAAGACAATATATATTTGCTCCATTCTACACGCCTTATAATTAATTCACTAGAGAAGATGACAAAATATAGAAGTTCCATTCTATAGTAATGTAAAATCAAGCTAGATTCTAGCATAGTTCGAGGTAAGAGAGCTACTCATTGCGGCTGTACCGCAAATCACTACCAACTCCAAAGATCCGGAGAATCCAAACCATTGACACTAGTTTCACCACAGCCATAAATAGCATTATGATGATGAAGATGTTCATCTTCACCCACCAATATTTCTTGCCACACTAATTGCAAATCACACTCCGTGGAAGAACCATGATGATGATGATGATTATCTTCCTCTTCCTTCATCGTGGTCGTCAAACTAGGACTCTTGAGCTCTTCAGGGTCCATGATGATCTCATCATGTTGAACACAAGGCTTGATCTTCGGTGCTACTTCTTTGGTGTTACACGTGTGGTTTCCTATGTATGTGATGTTGAACATGTTGGACTCAAGCTCTAGCTTCTGCACTTGCTTTGTTGCCTTGCACCCTTGAGTGAATTTATGTGTGCACCTAAAGTAACTCCTGCAAAACATTAATGAAAAAATGAAATATTTAGACCAAATGTGTATATATTCTCCATAACCAATTAAATACAGACAACATAGATTATAGATATAAATGCGAGTCATGTATAATAATAATAACCCAGCTACATGTCACATATCAATATTTATACACACACATATCTCTTTATATGTGGATGAATATACAATATGGATAAAAAATAACCTTGGGCATTTGGCATTAAGAATCTCCTTTTGTCCATACTTCCTCCATGAAAATTCGTCTTCAACTACGGTCGACTCTACAGTCCACGTCTCCGATCTCTTCCTGCTCAAAATGTTGTAAAGTTATAAATTAAATACTTGTTGGCTTTTTATGTAATTATTATTCTTGCAACTAAAGCTACATGTATCTTGTTTGTTTGTGGACCAACCACAACATTAGATCCTAAATGATCGCCTTCTTTATTGGTATGAATCCAAATGGGTTTATATTTATATTGTATGATTAACATAAATAAAATAGAACCACAAATGATTATACTAATATTCTCTATCATTATGTTACATAAGTAAAAACAAGACATGAAATTATAAACTAATGTTTTTTTACTAATTAATACGTGTGTGAATTGTAGTCTGAAATAAAAAGAATAAGGTTAAAACTTACTTTCTCTTGTAGCATCCTCTTTTACCCTTAACGGGTCCAAGTCTTTTCCGACTATCACCGGAATCCTCAAGCTTGCCATCGTTGTCGCAGGAAGCATTTTGAGAGCCTTCAACGGCGGTAACAAGAGAGGAGGAGGAGACGGGCTCTAAGGAATCAAGAGTAGAGATTGCGTTATTGAAAGATCCCAAGATTTTAGCCACTAGATCACCCGATGAGTCAAGACCTAACTCATGTTGATGAAAGACAAGTTGCTGAAGCTTAGTGGCAACCTCGCGGCCTTGAACGAGTTGGTCCCTAGCTTTTAGCGTTTTTGCTTTGTTATTATTAGCAATTTCCATTTTGGTGAATTTGAGAGAGTTTTTTGGTGGGTTTTTTTTTCTCTCTCTCTATTGGTGTGGGTTATATGATTAAAGGGAAGAGAAGTGTGTGTAAATATAATGGAGATAAGAAACTTGCAATGATGAGAATTTTTTTTTTTTTGTTGAGTTTTTTGATATTTTTGGAGAGAGAGGAAGATGTGAGGAAATGAGAAGGAAGAGAGAGATGGGTTAAGACAAGAGAGTGTGATATGAACTTATCCACCCTTTTTCATTTGCTTAGGGGAGCCTCGTGACGTTTGCTCGAGTGACAAAGCGATCACGTCACTCTTCCCATAATGAGAACGGAATAATTACATAGAGTTTCGATTGATTGTGTTAAAAAAACATAGAGTTTTTCATCAGCCTTGTATCGAAATTCGTATTTTCACTGATTGCATGTCATTTTCTGAAGTAGAATTCAACTATTATTTGACCTATTAAAATATATATATTTTTTTTTGTAAAAAATGGTTAAATCTGAATCTATTAAAAATATAAACCTAATTTGAATAGAAACTAGATATTTAGACCGGAAATTATAGTACATATCTGTATCGCCAACTAGATTCGAATCAAAGTTCACCATATTTTAGGTTTAGTCATTTAAGTTTCACTAGACTATTACCACTGGTTGATCTAGTAAGATATTGATTACATTATTATTGATTAAGTTGAAAGAATCATATGAATAAAGAGTAATATCACTGTCTTGCTAACTCATTCGCTTACCAGTTATCCTAACCTACCAGCTTATCAAAACTCAAAAGCAAACGTCGCAATTTTTCTACTTTATTTTTGTCTAGAAACTCTTTTCTATTAAACTTTATTTTAAAATATTTAATTGAAAAGCATTTATGTTTCACTCACAATCACTTTCGACGCATTTAGACATAATATTTTTTTTTAATATAGAACATATATTATTTTTTGAAAAGTTGTAGTAATCTAGCTTGTATTTTTATATCTATTTAATTTTTTTCTTTTGTCGTAATTTCGTGTAAACTACTTTTAATAGGTGTTGATGACTCACTGGTCCCTCACTATCTTAATGCATCATCGTATAATCATGCGTGGATTCTCTTCGCTTAAAGATGCCTGCTTGGTCTAGCCGCCCTCACTCTCATCTAACCAAGTTTTAACTGAAAATTCGTGATATTTATATAAACCAAAACAATTTTGATTGGTAGAAAGGATAACAAAACAGTAGAAAACTATATGAATCTGTAGACGTTTATCATTTTTACCGTTGCGCAGGTACATGAATTATATATAAAAAAAGGTACATGAATTATGTTTACTGTTGTGTTGTAAATTCAGGGAACTAACGCGATGAACTTTGGCCGAAATTTTCCTTTTCTGATTCCTTTATATAATTTTTAAAACACATCTATAAGGACTATGTAAACATGAAGTTTCCTTTTCTTACTTACATCGTACTATATTTTCTATCCGCAGTATTAACTTCAGTGGTCCTTTTGGAAAACCACTAAGATTTTTAGTTAGGTAAACAGTAAGTTGTATGCAAGTTAAAAAAAGTTGTATGCAAGTTTTTTTTTTAAAGTTGTATGCAAGTTTAATACTAAAATACAAAAAGAAGGTTTTTGTTTTTTATACCTTTTTGTTTCTTATGATCCTGCCGGTTATTAATATTTTAAAATAAAGTTTCGTATATCTAGTATTATATATTTAATCAAAGTTTTAGATGATGAAAACAGTGCTATCAATTTTCATACAGAAATCTTCCATGTTCTTATCATTCTATTCCAAGTTAAGTTTATTTTAAAAAGGGTTAAGTTTTTACTGTCAATTATATATATATATGTATATATTCTTATCGTTTTCAGAATATTCACATTATGTGAATTCATAAAGATCAAACATGCGCACACGTTAGATAATCCATTGATTTTTCTTTGTGTGATTTTTATTTAGTAAACTAATTGAACTGCAAGCATATGCTCACAAGTCACAACAAAACAATTTTACAGCTTAAATTAAATAAAATAGTAACTAATGACTATAATTAGGAAATAATTTTAGTTTTAAGTTATTTCAGGGTTAGCTACCATATAGTACACCTTCAGAAGCCAATTACTTCTGTTCAGATTTGAAAGCAGATTCATAAATGAGATGCATTATCAGTGCTCTAAAGTGTGGTTGTTGTGTCACAACTTTTTC